CAGTAGCGGGTTGAAGTTGTGATGTTGGTCATTGCATTTGTGGTGGTTGGGGTTCAGCCCGTGCGCCGCGAACAGATTAATGCCTTAGTACAGTACCTTGACTATTATGAAGGCTACTACCGCCTCGCCTAGATAGTCTACCCCTGACCACCCAAGCCTTGCTTAGGTGACTGTCAAACCCCTACAGACTCCCTGTACCTCCGCTCATCCTTGAGAACCAATCAAATAGTGTCTACGAGCTTTGCTCAAGGCACAAATCGCAACGCATCTTTTCGTTGGCCAAAATTCACAGCACTCCCCTCCTCCTCTCATCATCAACACCAGCATCTCACCTTTCAGAGATTCTATTCGGGGATCCGGAAGCGGCCGTGGGGTTCATTCCACAACTGAGATCACTGTACCTGTCTCAATAAGCGTTGCAACCCATCGTGAATGCCTATCTGACATTCATTCGAGCGATTATATACTTAAAAGCGGGGTTCAGCGGTCTCGAATTTCCTAGGTTCATTTTTCATAAGCAACCTGAGCTTGCAGAGACCTGAGATGGGCCAACAGCAGTCTGAGTACTGAGCTGAACGAAATATCCAGATTTCCCACGCCTTGAAGCCCATGGGCTTCGTTTCTAAACAACGATGATCAATCGATATCTCATTTGATCTTCTTGAAGCAATGTCGTGACGAGTTTCCATGATGTTTATCTTCCATCATGGTTAGAACATGCATTGCTTGTACGAACAACGGATTTGGAGCTTCTTACGATATGCATATTGCCTGCCCCTGACACATGCATGCAAAGATTGGGAGTTCGTCATCGTAACGGTCGGAAACGTCCAAAAATATTGAGTCGAACGCGTTTGTAAACGGTGTAGAGGGACATCTGGAGAATGTCTGCATCGTTTCTGTTCCTAATCAGCATGGGGTATTTGTTGCAGTAAATGCAATAAGTGAAGGTGTAACCGCGCAGGGCAGTAAGTCAGGGGTAATCGCGCGAAGCAGTAAAATCAGTACATTCTGTTGTGTTGTTGTTCAGTGTTCTGTCCCTCTCGACCCCCAGCGGGGTCTGTTTACATGACGTATGTATCTCGTGCAGTCAAGAGCAGGAGGTGCTTGTTGGAAAGAGCAAGAGCACCAACACACGTGGCACCCATGACCTCCATACTCCATAAACCTTCACAGTATTTGTAACGAGATGATGCAATGCAACGCAGCTTGTCCACACCATCAAAACTTCTTACCTGCGGGGTGCGTGGTGACAATCATGCAGATGTTGGTTACATGCCGATATTCAGGGTGGACATATCGTCCAGCTGAACTTCGAATGCTCAGATTTATTCTCCACTGAGCAGTGAGGGTTTCCGCCAGGCACAGGCTGGTTTCGGGTGACCAATGGAGCGACTTCTGGCTACTCACGTTGTTCAAGCCGACGGTATGACTGGATCAGTTGTGCCTGGCTGCTCATAGCCTGCGAAATGTTTAATACTCGCGTTGGCTGGAATGGCTTGCGGTCTAGCATACATTGTAACATGGGCACAGTGTGGCAAACAAACGCTGTGACTTTGTCGCAAGCCACTAGTGAGGAGTATATGGATGCTCAACGGACAGCCTTCCATGAGCCTTACACCTGAACAGAGCAGAATGTCCCAGTTGAGCTACCAGTATTGAGTAAACAAGCTGAGGATCGGCAATATCTGTTCCGATGCCAACCATTACTGCTCACTTGTGGCAAGGAAGAGAGGCACGCACCGGATTTCTCGATTGATCATGGCTAGTCGAAGGTCACTTGGCCGGAAAATGGACGAGAGTCATCCTCCTTTACGGCCGTCCGTGCGATAGACACGGGGGCTGTTGCTCCTGCTTACTGAAACACAATGGAATCGATCAGTCTGGCAGATACACCGAGATGTTTGGTGCGTCATTTTCGGCCGTGAGATTACCTGATAGTCTGTGAGTCTGTGAGAATCCATTTCTAATGGCAATCCTCGAGGCGAGGCCAAGCCAGTAAGGCGAACATCCACGGGTCCAGACCGCTTTGAAGTACCTCCAGCGCCAGCCACGCCATGCTCAGACTGGAAGTGGCTTCGCAAGGCCTGCATGAATCGGTGGAGTCCGGAGTGGATCGTCAATGATAAGGGCAATTGATTGCTTGTCTGCTCACTTCCACGCAGTGAGGCAGACCATTCGTCATGTATCCACCGAAGAGTACGAGAACTTAACGCTACCTGAAACTTTAACATGTATCGAATAGCGACGGAGATTTGCCGTATGCTCCTCCACGTTGATTCTTTGTCATCAACGCACTGCTGCTGCAGTACTAACAAGACTGCAAGGGGCACAAACGCGAAAATTGCAAGCTCCTCTCAGCCGCTTTCGTCATCACGACTGACTGCTGCAGTAGAAGTGAGTCCGCGGCGTGGAATCGTACGCGGCTGTACAATGTTATGGGAAGCACGTGGTGGGCTCGTGACAATCAAATCACCAGACTTCACTGTCATAGAAATCGTTGCGCGCGCGCACCGAAGCATTGCCGGACAGTAGCCCCAAAAGCAAAGCCTCTGTAGTCCCGTCACCAGCGCCAGCGCCAGCCCTTTCGTGTCTGCGCAATTTATCAGACCTTGCGTCAGCTGGAGCTGGGCTGCGATCTCGGAGCAAGGGTCGAGAAAATCCACAAAGCAGAAGTTGGGTCTCAGTGTCCAGCTGATAATATTTGCTATTCCACCATGCCTATAGGCCTTATTAAGAAAGATGTAGACATGAAATGCTGTTGCAGTAGCCCTTATCATAGGGCGCTCCTATCATTGCGGTTCCGCAGTGGGGATCTCTGGTATGACCCACTGATACGGCCAGGTATCGTGGTCCACCATAATTCATGGACACCGTAGGTGATAGGAATGCCTATCAGGCACTGGATAACAAGCGTCCCACAGTTCTCTTAGTTGCATGAATGAGCCTCATCGCCCCTGCCGTTGGGTCGGGTCCCGCTGCCGTCCTCCCGCACGCAGGTTGTTGAAGATCGTAGTTCCCCAAACAGTTGATGCTTTCTTCGCAATCGAAATGCAACCCCAGACTCGTGCTGCGTCCGGACGCAACCTCCACCTCCGCATTCCCCAGAAACAGTCCGGGAACGTGGACGGCAGATGTAAACTGCCGGGGAAAGGTGGATCATCCGAGACATCGCGTGCTATTTGATGGATCTGGTGTGTCATACCCGACTCTGGGGGTGGACAGCCTCAGGGGCAGTAGTGTCATCTCGGTGCGATATCCATCTGGTTGGGCCCAGGTGGTTTCCGAGACGAAATATATCTCGGAATCACCTTCCGCTCCGAGTTGATCACTCCTTTCAGCTCTTGGGTGGCAAGAACCTTTCCCACAGTTCGCCTTTCGCTGGGAATTGTGGTGTGAGCTATTTGATAATACTCGGACAGCACATTGGCTGGTTTGATTTGGAGGAAAAGATTTGACGCAAGATGTGAAGGCTGACGCTCGCATCATGCACAATCGGCTGATGTTGCGAGAGGAGTCTGATTGCTCGGAAGGGATTGTTGACTAACTAGCGCTCTGATCAGCGCACTCGGGTTCTTCGAGAATCAACGCGGACGCTATTCCCACAACAGACTCTTGGCCCATCTCCACCCCCAGGACACCTTTCACCGGAGCCGCGAATTACACTTTGCGTCACCAGGATTGTTGAGTTATGCCCGCTGGCGCAACTGAAACGCCCAATCACGAGATACATCTGGGCAATCTGCTGTATGCAAAACCCCAGCTCAGGTCTCGGCAATGGCTGATGTCACTATCTCCCGGAGTGCCTAGCCCCATCTGAGATCTCTTCGTGATCTTGTTTGCTGTAGCGCGATCAGCGTCTGAGCATATATGAGAACGGCTCACGACTTCAACATCGCACGCTGAGTCACGGTCGGTTCCGGTGATTCTAACGTGCCGTGAAAGAGTTACATTGCGGAATTTCTCCGGCCAGTATGACGTTGCTGGAGAAGGATGGCATGAGCGCAGAGAGACTGGGGATCGGGCTCGTTCCCGGTCGTATCGGATTCGAGCCCGGAACGAAATACCAAGTATGGAGCGGCAGATGCTCGGAGAACGATCAAGTGAATGCTAGGATGAAGCACTGCCCTGTGCGTGCTTTAGCGTCCCATGGGATCGCTGGGTAACATCACGAATGTGGGATAACGAAACGACATGGCTATGCGTTTTAGGACCCCAGTCATTACGTACCGGTATCTGCACCCCAGAATGACAGCCGACGGGCAAGACTTGGGGTTCATAAACCCCTAGCTTTCCCCAGTCTCTATACTTTCCGTATCATACCAAGTGTTGATCACACAACTCCTCGGTCTCGCATCTGCATCGACCACACTTTGAACATTTTCATGCGATCTGCCGCAGTCTAAATTCACGATGTCTTACGAACCGAAGAACGACCTTGAGCAGGCTCAGTCGCCTTACAAGAAGGATGAGCTCGATCTCGAGCCTCAGGAAACACACCGCAGAGGGAGTGTGTTCAGCACAAGTGGTCGTCGTATGAGCATTAGCGATGAAGTTTTTGGTGAAATTACAGAGGAAGGCCCCAACTACCGTGACGTACGTCTTTTCATCTTCACGTGGTAGTGACGCATCAGCTAACGGCCGCAGGTTGGTTGGATGGGAACTGTTGTTGTCATGATCAAGACTCAGATCGGTTTGGGTGTGCTTTCCATCCCCGCTGCGTTCGATGCACTCGGTCTCATCCCTGGTGTGATTTGCTTACTCGGAATTGCTGGCATGATTACCTGGGGTAACCACGTGGTTGGTACCTTCAAGCGCAACCACCCTGAAGTCTACAGTATCGTAGATGTTGGCGAGAAGCTGGGTGGAAAGATCGGCAAGGAGTTCACGAACGTTGCTTTTTTGCTGTGTAAGTCTCTCACCTTAGTGTTCCCCAACATCGTCCTGACCATTGACAGGGTGGATCTGCGTCGCAGCTGCTGGTTACTCGAGTATCTCAACTGCTCTCAACGCCCTTTCTCTCCACGGAACTTGCACCGCTGTTTTCGTCGTAGTAGCTGCGGTCATTGGTTTCTTGACTGGCTCGATCCGGACCCTTGGAAAGATTTCATGGCTCGCCTGGGCTGGTGTGATCTCCATCGTCGTCGCTCTGCTCACGTTGACCATCGCGGTCGGTCTTCAGGATCGCCCAGCCGAAGCGCCCCAGACCGGACCTTACGTTTCGAACTACAAGTTGATTGGAAACCCCACTTTTAATGAGGGTATGGGGGCCATCAACTCCTTTGTCTTCGCCTACGCCGGTACCCCCGCCTTTTTTGCCATCATTTCTGAGATGCGCGACCCTAAGCAGTACAACAAGGCCATGTACATCTGCCAGGGTACGATGACCTTAATCTACCTCCTCGTCGGCATTGTCGTCTACTACTTTTGTGGCTCGTATGTCTCTTCTCCTGCCCTTGGATCTGCTGGTCCTCTTCTCAAGCGCATCTGTTATGGTCTCGCAATTACCGGCCTGATCGCTTCTACCTGCCTTGTTACCCACTACCCCGCCAAGTACGTCTTCCTGCGCATACTCAAAGGATCCAAGCACCTTGTCTCCAACTCCAAGACCCACTGGGCAACATGGCTATCCTGCACTTTCGGTGTTACCGTCATAGCTTACATTATCTGCTCGGCCGTCCCTAACTTCGGATCCCTAATCTCGCTAGTCGGTGCTCTGCTCGCTACTTTCATGTCCATGCAGCCCCTCGGAGCTATGTGGCTGTACGACAATTTCAAACGCCCTACTAAGGGGATGAGGTGGACAGTCGGTGTGGCGTGGGCCTCATTCGTAATCATCATCGGTACCTTCATCATGGTTGCTGGTTCCTACAGCGCCATTGTTGGTATCGTTGCTGACTACAACTCTGGATCTTCAGGCGCCTGGTCTTGCGCTGACAACTCCAACTCGGCTGGTGGCGGACACTAGACGAGTGTAACGATATTGATGAAATTTGCATAATCCAGGAGGATTGTATATATACCCCAAGCGAGGCTGAGTGTTCTGAATCAATGTCAAGCCAATTGGCATTCTACAACATTGCGCTATCTTCATCTTTACGCAGTGATAAAATCTCTCTTATACACACTTTGGTCCATCTATAGTTTTACAGCTACCTGCATGAGTTGTCCAGAACTTACCGATACAATCTAGGTGGATAAAACATCACAGCTATCTTTGGCATTAAACAAGCGACATTCGTGTTAGGTGCAATTGGAAGATGTCGGCGCGATACGGCTGACCTGTCCGTCCTGTAATTGTTCCAAAAGAGATTTTCATCAAGAGACTACGGTAGGCCGGTCTCTTTGTATCCTTTGCAAGCAGACGCTGCGCCAATACTTGCTAAGTTCATTACGTTCGGCCTTGTTCACGCCGCATCCACTCTTAGACCTGAAACCGGAGTTTTCCATGCCACTCTGCCGTACAAGCATTGCGGGTTAGGGGACCAAAAGAGGTAATTTAGCGGCGTAGGCTGCTGTAATACACTGACAGCTACGGTAGATGAAAACGTAGGACTATCGGATTGATGGAACATTGCGCTGAATTGTTATTTAGCTAGGAGAGGCGACTATATACCTGAACTAAATCATGATAGCTCAGGATAGTCTGACGTGTGCAACCTTAGGCTTACATACCGACTGATACCGTAACATGTAATCATGAATAGATGATTGCTGCTTGGTACGTACATTTGTCAGGCCATAATAAAATGGCACCTTCACTTATTGCTTTTACTGCAACAAAGACAGACAATCAGGCTGCCATTACATTGATGATTAATCCACGGTCCAATCACATTGGCATTCATTATTGTTTTGTCAGAGAGAAATACTTGGAGGGAGAGTTTGCCATTGAACACGTTTCATCTGCACAGAACCTTGCCAATATCTGCACAAAGTCACTGCCTCAACCAGTGTTGCAGAATATGGTCACGGAGATGGGTTTGGGATATTACAATTGATGGTAACATACCCCACAGGCAAGTTGGACACCAAGCAAGTTGGACACTTTTGCCAAGACTTCACCAAACCTCACCCCATTATGGCCCAAAACAACCCACTTTGGCACTGCATAGTGCAATACAGCATGTAATATTATTCAGAGACTAATTCTACATCTTACTTGCATGTTTGCGTGTTATGTCCAGTCTGATTGTACCACCCACAGCGCCTTTGGGATGGCTCACCCACTTCAGCATGCACCCGCTTCTTTGCCTTTGCATGCCCCAAGATCCTTTAGAGTAGTTAATCACAGGCCATCTTTAATTATTAGAGTCCCTTCTTCCCAAACTTGTTTTTCTTTGTGCAATTTACATTGCATAGCAGCCTCATGAGCAGCTCAAAGCTCAGTAATTTCCTGTTGCACCAATACTAGCTTGTGCGCCATTATTGCCACCACCTTTGAGACCTTCTCAAAAGCTTCAACCATGGAAGTAGGTGAGCTATTTGTATGCCTTTGAATCCTTGTCTTTGCAAGCGTTGACTGCAACCCAAGTTCAAGGGTGTTACTTGGGGTCTGCAATTGCCAGGCCTCATTGTTGACAGGCAGTGGTGGTGATAGAATGCGCAACTTCACATCAAGGGCCATTATGACCCGTTGTGGGTCAAATAGGCCCAATCCAGCACCTCAGAACCCTCATTAGATATTGCTGGGAGTGTCACGAAGATGCTACGAGTAGGCCCTTTAGGACTCGCTAGGAGTCTAAATCAATTACTACGTACGGTATCTAAGCAGGTACAAGACGTTGTGTACCAAACAGAACTCTACCAGCAATAGTCTATATACTTACGTGTGGGTTCGTTCGGTTACTGGTTAATAATTGGAACTGAGTTGGATAGGTATTGGGGTTGCAAGTCCCAGAGCGGGGCTTGCAGAATTCTGATACTCCCGCTTCGGAGGTTGCAGGCCCGCTCCGGAGGTGACTGGAGGTTGTACGTCCGCTTTGGAGGCGTGTAAGGACGCTGGGGATTTGGTGCGTACGGTCAGGGACAGTACGGAGCGGATCCGGATATTGTCAGGGGATCTGGAGAGGATACCGTGACATATATAGACTATTGCTGGTAGAGTTCTGTTCGGTACACAAAATCTTGTACCTACTTAGATACCATACGTAGTAATTGATTTAGACTCCTAGCAAGTCCTAAAGGGCCTACTTGTAGCATCTTCGTGACAGCTATCTTGACTGAAGCTTACACTGGCAATGATGCGGCACCTCCACCAATAGGTAAACACTGGGCACGACGCTGGCTTAAGCCTCACAGCGAGTTCAAGCGGACTAAAGCTACACCAATTGAGGTGTTGCGCAAGCTTCAACAACAACCAGACGGCATCCACAAGTGGTACAACAAGGTTAAAGAAGAGATTGACAGGCTGGGCGTAGTGCCAGAGGACATGTGGAACATGGACGAGACAGGCTGCCGCATCGGTGTTTCCAAGAACCAGTATGTCTATACTGCACAAGGTCAAACCCAGCTAGTCATCCCAAGCTCCAACAACCGCGAGCTTGTGACTCTTGTGGAGTGTGTCAGTGCTGTCAGCGCTGTGATTGAACCTATGATCATTGTCAAGGCAGCTACTATCTTTGAGCATTGGGTGGATGAGTTACCTGACAGTTACTGCATACAGTATAGCGACAGCAGCTACACCAATGATCAACTCTCATTCCAGTGGCTTAAGTACTTTGATGAGCGCACAAAGGACAAGACTATGGGGGTCTGGCGCTTGCTATTTGTGGATGGGCATGGCTCACACCTGACAACAGAGTTCTACAACTATGCTGTTGCACATAAGATTCAGCCTCTTGCGCTGCCTCCGCACCTCTCACATCTTCTCCAGCCGCTTGACGTTGGCTGTTTTCAGCCTCTCAAATGGTACCATGGGCTGGAGTTACACCACGCGTCGCGAACTGGCGCACGCGACATCAACAAGGCTGACTTTCTAGCAACACTCTAGTCTATAATGACTTGTAGATGATTGACCACCCCCCAGGCTATAATTATGTGGAAATTGACATCAATCGGGCCCAACAATTGAGAGCTGTAGGAGCTCCCATTGGTTGGCAGGACTACACTGGGACTAGTGCTGAGAGGCACAGTGAATGTAGGCAACTAGTGACAATGAGGGATAGGAGCACTCTTTTGGGTGGGCAATTGAGGTGTTGATGTAGTGCCGCAGCATACAGTGGGCCCCAACTAGTATAGTATAGGTCCCATAACCATAGTATCTCAGTGAAGGTCTTCTGGATGAGCTATAGTAGTGCTGGGATGTACCATACCCAAACTTTAACAGCTAGGGGAGCCAATGACGGCAGCCACGTTTTTATGTAGGTGTTTTGCATACAGACACGTTGCCACCATCTTTTCTACTCCCTATCCCTGTACTTCTGCCAGTGTGAGTATCCTCATCCCCACCACTTTCTTGGTGTTGACATACTGTAGATGGCTTCTCAGGCTGGTAAACGCAAGCGTTGTGTCACAGAAAAGGGCTTTGAGTACCAATCGAGCCTCAAACGGAGTCAGCAATTGCAGCCGCCATCGTTGTCTCCAGGCAGGTCCTTCACTGCCACCAACCTCAACGATAGGGATGACTCCCCACTCTCCAGTCTCCCTCCAACACCATCCAATAGCTCTAGTGTAGGAGGTGACCCTAGCCAATCGGCAGCCTATTTTCAGGCAGCAGCAGCAGTTGCCAACAAGGACAATGATGCAGAAAATGAGGAAGATGAGGTTATCAACAATGGCCAAGAAGACAATGATGTAGCTGTGCACGTGCCAGCAACGCCTGAGCCTGAGGCAAGAGAAGGAGAGCCAGATGATGCTGATTACCGTCCAAACTATCGAGAGCCATCGGGTTGCTCCTTCAGCCATCAACCTGAGCCTCAGCTGGAGCCCCAGCCACCACCGTACGAGGCTTCTGATAGCGACGTTGAAGATAACATTGCTATCTACGATGCTCCACGAGTGAAGTATGAGGCACGGTACAAGGCCTTCTGCAGCATGAATCCAGTCAACGGCTTGCTTAGTACCCGTACACAAACATCTTGGGATGTCAATTTACAGCAATTGTTTGTCTGGGGTGATCGGATGACCCATGAGCAGCTTCCATTGCCGGTCTCCTTCACATCTATCAGCGCATTTGTCTACCTACAGGGTCAGCAGAAGGCGTCGTGGTTACCTGAGACTCTTAAGCGGCAGGATGAGGCCTCGTTTCAACGCTTTCTACACCTTCTCCAGCGTAAGAAACGCAAGCGTGATACATCACGAGGTCAACGAAAGGCAGTTTGTGTTGACTTTGAGGTGTGGCTCGAACCTATCACAGCCAACCAACAGCTGCCATACCCTCAAGGCAGAGGTGCTGTGAGAGGCAATCGAGATCGAGAGCGGATTCACATACAAGGTCGTGCTTCTGCAACTGAGCGACAGTTAGCTCAATTGCCAGCTGATGAAGAGCATCTACGTGTAATAGCTGGTAATGCACTTGCTCCGCTAACCTGACGATGGCGTTGTACACTATCTACTTGCTTCAACTATCATGGTACCTGCTGGGTGAGCCTTCAGGGAGGTGAGCAGCTGCCTGGACGTGTAGAGAACCACTACGCAGTGTTCAACGCCCCTCTCAGAAAGTGGCTCCAAGAGATCAGGGATGATGAGTCCAGTATAGCTGAACCGTCTGGCAACATCAGAGCACTCCTCCGCCAATCTCGTGAGCGCTCTGTCAATACCAGGGCAAGTCAGCACATACGTCATCAAGAGCTGATGGGTATGCATGAGCATCAGGGTGTCCAATTGACTCGGTTGTCAGGCACAATTGAGTCGCTTGCTCAGCTGTACACTGCCAAGTCTACTGCTGAATTGGCAAAGGCGCAGTCATCTGAGAGTACAGTTAATCCTCTTAATTGCGGCAAGCAGGAGTGGGAGATATTACAAGCCTTCTTCCAGTATTGGTGGGAGCATGATCGGTACAACCAGAGGTACTCAGGCTACATTGTTGACGTTGCTTGTAGAATCTCTGAGCAACGCATCTCAGTAGCTGAACTGAGAGACCCAAGAGTCCTCACCACGTTAAGATGGACTCAAGACTGGGGTTGGCCACTCCTTGTTCTAGAGAGGATGAGGCACAAGATGACTGAGTTTGTTGAGAGCAATCAGTGGTAGATGTACTTTGGTATGGAGCATGGCTGGGATACTCATGTATTTGAAGTAGAGCGTCATCTGCAACAGATTGCAGCTCAGGCTGAAGCAGTGCAGGCAGAGCATTAGTATGGTAGTCAGTAATAGCTAGCTCTCTCACCTGTTGGTTTCTCTTACCTGTCAATTGCTGAAGCCGCACCACAGTGATTAACCTCTTGTATACATATTTACTGCTGCGTAGTATCTTTATCAATTGAGGACGCACTGATATGCAGGAAAGGCCACTGCTGAGATTGAATGTACAATAAGAGTAACAAACTATATTAAGGTAAAGTCCATAGCCACTGATATATGAAGCAAATGAGAGCAGTCTTGCACTTGACCTTGATGTAGTTCCTTGCTTGTTTTTTGGCACATGTTTGGTTTATACAAATGTCTCTCTTTTTAGTTATAGTGTGGTATTTGCCGGGCTGGGGCATGTCACCTCAGAATATGCCTACCCTAAAGTGACCTTAGTCTCAGCCAAACATTGATATTCTTTTTAAACCCCTTTAGGAACTGTCTCCTTTGATCATGAAGTCAGTTTTCCTAAGATTTTGGTTTGGTAGGGTGACGTAGAGTGGTTGTAGTGTGGTTCATCCATACCAAACTATGAGACTTTCATCACCTCCGAATTATCCGCCTATAGTGTACCAATTTTTCAGTACCTATGTAGCCATTGTATAACGTAATGAGAACAAATCAAGCTGATTTTTAGGACAGTCAAAATGACCATGCTCTTTAGTTCTACAGCTTCTCCTCTATTGTTTCTAGGTCTCAGATTAATTCTGCAACGTTGCGTTGATGTTACAGAGTGACGTTAGCTATAGATGCTATTTGTCAAGACTCAGGTCTGGCTCACTGAGCCAAGCAAGCCAAAAGGTATCACAGTTCACTCTAATGGTGAGCTCTAGCCGGAACAGTACTATATCATCAGCCAGGCCTAACACTATTTCTATTGGCAATACTGTCATCCTGACATGGCTTGCAGCCAATAACAATCCACCCAGTCACACCTCATGGAAACTCATGGAACCTCATGGAACCTCATGGAACCTCATGGAACCTCATGGAACCTCATGGAACCTCATGGAACCTCATGGAACCTCATGGAACCTCAT